TGAGAGTAAAGTCAAAATAATGCATGACTATCCAACGCGCTATGCTTAGTCTTAATGTCGTACCCAGGTCTCACTAATATCACCCTCGGGCTGTTTCACGCTTGGCCGTGGCAATCAAGGTTCGAGATTACTCTAGGATACCACGTCTGCCGCTAGAGGCTTTAAAAAATTGCTGAGTTGGTTAACTCGTCTCGTATCGTGCTCCTATGCACAAAGATGGAAATACGTTAACGAAATAAGTAAATAAGCAGCGACGTTAAGAAAACGCTGCTATCTTTTCTTTTAAGTTTGGTGTGACGCCTTCTCTTTGTGGACTTCATATTCCAGGCTTGAAACAGACTGGCCGTAATTTTCCATACGTACTCCTTCTGGAGGCGAAAGTTCCATCACAGGATTAACTTCAGATTTGACTTTCTTTTTCAGGCTAAAAAAGAAAAAGAAAAGAAAAATACTTTTTTTGCATCTTTTCGGGTTCAAATCCTGGACCCGGTGTCATAAGTGGTTTGATTTTGTTGTTGGTTCTCGTCCTTGCTCCGAGGGTTTTTCTCCGGGTACTCCGGTTTTCCTCCCTCCACAAAAATCAACATTTCTTAATTCCAATTTGATCGGGAATTCAAGGGCCACGGGTTTGTCGGTCGTAAGACTGTTGTGTGTTACCCTCGTTAAACAAAGCTAATTTTATTTATTTATTTTATTTATTTTGATGAATACACAAGTTATGAGTTTCTGCACTGAGCCGCTTGAAAAAGTTTAATGTGTTTTAAAACTATTTAGAAAACAGTCCTAAGAAAATACGCGCGCTGATTGGTTAAAAATCGTATTTCTATTAAACAATTAGATTATGAGCTCGAGATTTCTATCGCGTGATAGTTGACAAGGGCGCAGCCCGAGTTTTCTATCACGCATAGAAATCGAAAGCGAATAATCTCATTGGTTTAGTATAAATCTACTAGTCGTTCAAAACTTTATCTAAATCCTCTTCACAGACACTTGGAAAACGTCAAGAAGCGGCGGTCATTTTGTGAAGAAGGGGACACTGCTACGCTACTCACTATCTATTACAGAATAGATACTGAGTGGCGTAACCAATCAGAGAACGGCATTCGTGATAGAACGCTAGTAGATTTATACTAAAACTCGATAGAAACA